CCTCCTGAGTAGCTGGGATTACAGGCACGCGCCACCATGCCCAGCTAATTTTTTTGTATTTTTAGTAGAGACGGGGTTTCACCATGTTGACCGGGATGGTCTCGATCTCCTGACCTCGTGATCCACCCGCCTCGGCCTCCCAAAGTGCTGGGATTACAGGCTTGAGCCACCGCGCCCGGCCTAATTTTTGTATCTTTAATAGAGATGGGTTTTCACCATGTTGGTCAGGTTGGTCTCAAACTCCTGACCCCAAGTAATCCACCTGCCTCGGCCTCCCAAAGTGCTAGGATTATAGGTATGAGCCATCATGCCTGGCCTCAATTATTTTTTAGATCCTTCCAGGGTTTATTTTTTACATCTCATGATGTTATGTTCTTTACTTTAAAAATCTGACCAATCAAGAATTTGTTTTCATGTGAGGTAAGTGGAGTGGATCCAATTTTGTATAGCTATACATTTTTCCAACCCCATTTCATTAATAATCCATCTTTCCTCTACTGGTTTTAAATGTCATGACTATCATATACTAAATTTCCTATTTATGAACTTTCTATTCTATACCATTAATCCATTGGTTTATCTATATGCAAGACTCATAAGATTTTAATTTTTGAATCTTCATAGTACTTCATTCTCTTTCTTTAAACTCTACAATACAATCAGAAAAGTCAACTCACCCACCCACCTAGCTGTTCCTGTATCTCTCATTCCCTTCATAACCATCTAAGTAGCAGCCACTGAAGACTCGTTGTCAGTAAACTGTTCATCCAAGGTGACCACATAATTTCACTGTTCATCCAAGGTGATAATGTACATAATTTTTATTCTTTGCGCCTAGATTCACAGCATCCCATTTTCCACTAAGTGACAAGGCCACCATCCACCATGGTCTTCAAAACCAGCCAGTCCCAGATTCCCAGTTTCAGGGTCTGATTTCTACAACCACTTCCAATACCAACTTGTCAGTCAAATTTCAGTGCAGAAAACAGAAATCACTCTGTGTATTTTACACAGGAAGATATTTAATACAGAGAACTAAGTTCTTACAAATTCTGTGGAAGGCCTGAAGTAGCAGCTCTGGGCTGGACATCTTGGAGTGAACAACTCTACTGGGCTGGTCTACCAAGGGAGCTGCTGGGTCTGAGGCCACTGGAGCCAGGCTAGGCCTGGAACCACAGCCATGGTCTGTATGTGGACACCTTAATCTGTGATCTGGGGATTTCTGAGTTTGATCAAGAAGCTGCCAGAGTCACTACTGCTTCTTATCACCCAGGAAGCTGAAGAATAAGGTCTGAAACTTGTGACAAAGAAGCCACAACCTTCCTATTCAGGGGAAGGCGTCCAGAGCCACATGAGGATGGTTTCCTAACCTCCACCTGCTTGATACCAAAAGAGTACATCTAACTAGAGAGGCTGATATTGTTTTTAGGACTCCAACCCCTATACATCTTTATATAAATCTTGCTCGTTTCTTATAGAGTTTATTTCTAGGTAATTTATCTTTCTCACTGCTAAAGAAACTGTTTCTTCCATTATATCTTCTGATTAGTTGTTGCATGTATATATATATATATATATCATTAATTTCTGTGTATTAATATACTCAGAATAAAATCTCACAGTTTATAGTAGTTATTTTTTTTTCTTCTCTAAGGAATCAAACAAATTTATTTTAGACAGGAAAGACTGAATAAAAGAAAAAGTTTTATCCTAAACTTTCCCAATAGTCATCTTCTGGATTATGTTATCAACTCTGTCAGTCACATGAGTTGCCTGTAAAAATTGTGTAATTCAATTGAAGAGTTAATTTTGCAAATAACAATCTTTCCATTCTCTGTGCTTTAGAACAATTCTCAAAACACATTTATTATGCTTCCAACCCATAACTGTTCAATTAGGTTTTTCTTCTAAAAATAACTTGGATCAATAGAATCATTTACTTTATACATATTCAAAAACAGAACTCGTCCATTTTTTTCAGTGTGCCATGGAGGGGAAAACTAGTCCAACCAAACAGATGTAGTAAAAAGTATGTTTCTTGTTTTGGCTTCTTTGTGTTAATGACCAGAGAAAATTCTTTGTTGTTTTTCATCTTGGCTTCAACATGATGTGTGAATATCCTTTTCTTCCTCTGAATCTTACCCTGGTATCCAACATTGATCTTTTACACTCAAAAAATGAGTATTTCAAAGCTTTGCAGTATCCTTCCTTCAAACACTGCCGAGGGGATTTTCCTTCCTGGACCACACATTCCGACAGCAGCAGACACATGCCCAGGTCCTCCTTTGGGTATGCATACGCACCGCCCTCCAGCTTGTCCTCATAATACTGGAGCATTATGGCACTTCCTGTCTGCTGCAGACTCGACTTTCTTCCAGTACAACGGCTGCGACCTGGCCGTGAGTGAGGACCCCGCAGCAAGGGACCAGAATTCATCTAATAGTAGTTGGTTCTTTAGGATTTCCAAGTTTACAGTCATAGAATCTGAACATAATAATTATTTTTCCTCCTTTCTTATTTCTGGTATTAAGAAAATGTTTTTGGTGTTTACTCAGCAAGGAGGAGATTGACTTTGGATTTGAGATAAACATTTTATCGTTAAGAATTTATCAATTCTTATTTCATTGAAATTCTTTACCTATTAAGGATGAATGCTGAATTTTATTATATGCCTTTTCATCATCAGTGGAGACAGTCATGTTATATTTTTTCTTAGTGATTGTGAGTTTTGTTAATAGGTTTCCTTATTTAGCCTTTATTCTGAAAGAAATGGGGAGTCACTGGGGAATTCTGAGCAGATGAGCAACATTATTCAGACCTAGATCTTAACAGAATTACTCAGGGTTCTGTGTTGAAATACACAGCAGAGACACAAGGATGGAGGCTGGCTATTAGAACCTTTGAGACAAGAGATGGATTGATTGTACCAGGGTGGTAGCAGCAGAAGTGATGAGAAGCAGTTAGATTTTAGAAATATTTTGAAGGTAGAATTTTCAGAAATTGATGACATATGAGATGTAAGTATGAGAGAAAGGAGAGTCAACTGATAACTGAGGTAGGTAAAACTATAGGAAAAGCAGATTTGGGAGAAATTCAGGAGCCCTGTGATGGATACTTGGGGTTTTGAGATGCCTCTTGGAAATCTGAATCAGTAAATAGGCCTCTGACATTCAGGAGAAAGGTTGACTAGAGGTAAGAATTTGCAAGTTATCAACACAAAGATGATATTTAATGCTATGAGACTGGTTGAGCTCACCAAAGTTGTGAGTGCAGTTAGAGAAGGGAAGAGGACCAAGAGATGAGCCTCAGTCATTAACTCCAGTAGTAAGAAGTTGGGAGAAGAGAAGAAAATTGCAAAGGAACTTGGGAAAGACTGGCCAATGAGATGGGAGGTGAACCCAGAAAAAGGGGAAGAGCAGTGTCTCAGAAGCAAGCGAAGAATCTGAATTAATGAGGAGTTGTGCCATATGTTGATGCCAGGTCAAGTAAGATAAGAACTAAGAAAATAAAATGACAGCACTAGGATGAACATATTTGTCCTATCAATTATTATAAATGTACTAAAATCATTTGTGAATAAACAAAGATATTGAAACTGGATGAATTAAAACTCAGCTCCGTACACTATGTAAGAGACACGCCTAAAATGAATTGATTCAAAAAGTTTTAAAAGATGGGCAAAGACACACCAGGCAAATATAAACACCAATAAAGCCAAGATTATGATAAAGTTAAATTCAGAGAAAAAAAAACAACAACATGAAACCAGGAAGGGGAGTTTAGAATGTTAAGGTACAGACTTCACAATGAGATAACCTCCTATGCCCCAAGTAACACTGCGGCTCCTCAAATGCACCCAGGTACCTCTGCTTTGGAGCCTTGGCACTGGTTGTTACCTCTGCCTGGAACACTCTTCCCCAGAGTACAAGTAACTCCTTCATTTCCCTAAGACTTTGCTCAAAACATTATTTTCTCAATGAGTCCTACTGTGACCTCCACATTTAAAATGATAACTTATTCTATCAAATTCTTTTAAACTCTATTTTGCACATTGTTTTTGTTCCTGCTCTTCATGGCCCTTGCTGAGTATTCTTTAGTGTCCTTTCATGGACTGCTTCCAGTTTTTCCTTTCTTTCTTTGATGCTTTTTTTTTCTTTCACTTTTTTTGAAGTGCTACCAGCTCATATTTGATCAGTTGTCTCACTTTCTCTCACATGAACTACATGCAAGAGGTGCATGTTAGTAGAGTGCAGTTTCCTGGCTGGAAGGAGTTTCATGGTTCGGGTTGAGTGAGTGAATTGCGTTAGCCTTTACTTCTCCCAAGCCCAAAACTAGGCAGCTGGAAGGCTGCTGTTGATGTGGTCTTCCCTCCATGTTCACTGGCAGACTGCTTCCTGCAAATACATGAATTGTCCCCATCTTCATTCAGCTCTGTCTTCCACATGCTGCACCTCTGGTTAGGATTTGGCTTTGTGACCCCCCTCCCCCAAGCCCTTTAACTTGGAGTGTGCACCAGCCTCATTTGAGATCTGCAACCCCTTCTGCCAGCTTTCCTACTAATCCTCACTGCCTTGATACCACTCCCATGTGTTTTGTGTGGTTTTGAGTTTGAGATTCCTTGCTTTGCAAAGGTGGGGTTTTCATTTCTGTTCCACAGTGGTACTACTGAGTGGTTTCTAAGAGAAAGGAGGAATGCTTATAGTATCCACCCTTCTCAAACCAGAGTTGCCAACTGATTTTCTATAAATTAGGGTTTTACTATTAGCAAAAAATAGTCAGGAGTTCCAGCTATTAAAAGGTTTTCATACTTGGCATAAACATAGTGATTTTTTTTCTAAGACTTGTTTAAAAATATTCTTGTTGTATGAGAGGGACTCATTAGATAACCTCTAGGTCCCCTTCAACTTGGAAATTCCATGATTCTACATAACACACCCAACTTACCTCAATGAATGCAGAGAACCCATTATTTTCTATGGCAAAATTAAGTGCTTATAAAAAAAAAAAAGTTACAAAATGGTAACTGTCTCCTTCAGAATATGATACAGAGTTCAGTGCTTAAGAAACATGTTTTGAATTAAACTGACCATACTGGTTATTTTCTGTTTGCCCACATCTACCCTCTACCCTTCTCCATCCTCTGTGCTTTGAGAGGCTGGCCTCTATGAATGCGTCAATAGGCTTCCTTGTCCTCTGGTCCCTGATAGGGTGCAGTTAATGGGGGCACTGGCAGGAGACTAGAGAGAGGTAAGAGGGTGAGGTCAGAGTATTTGTTCCTTGGCTCTCTCTGTGCTGAGTCATGGTGAGTTGGCCATGTCCCTCGATGGAAGGCCACAGCTCCAGTTAGGCAGCCTTCTCCATAACAGTGGAGTAACTGCTCCACTCCCTGCCCTTCAGGCCTAGAATGGCAATGACTCAGTGATTACTAGCTTCAGGGTGCACCACCAATCCTCATGGTTTCCCTAAACTTTGCTCACACATTTGTGAATAGTCTCTTTTTAAAACTCCACTCAAATTACCAAATTGGAGTATGCCATCTGCTTCCTGCCAGGACTGTGACTGATGCATTGGACATGTTTTGCTGCCCTAAATATATTCCAGCATCTCCATGCAGCACTACACACTTTCTATAATAGACTTGACTGCCATCCTAAACTCTTCCCAACATGATTCGGATTTTAATGGAGGTAATTCATGATTTGATTTTTCATGTTTGGACAGCCTTCATAAGGCAGCTATGACATAATGAAAATAGTTTAGATGTGAACACTTAGCTTCTAGCAGGCAACGAATAAAAAGTCTATATAAAGAGCAGGGGTGGTAAAGGGAATTAATATTCTGATTATAAAAATTTCTATTTCAATATAACAGCAACCTTTAGATCAAATCAATTATAGCCAGGTATTTCACATCACATTTAAAATGTCTCAACATTTCAAGAAGAAATAAAATGAAGAGAAAAATTACATTTTTGCTGAAGACATTTTTGATGTTTTCTATTTTGAAATAACAAACAAGAAATTTATTTTCATGTATTAAAAGACCTATCTCATCCTCCTGGAAAGAAATATTAGGTTGGTGCACAAGTTATTGAGGTTTTTGCCATTACTCTCAATGGCAAGTATTATGTTGGAATGGAAATTGAGAGTAATGGCAAAAACCGCAATAACTTTTGCACCAAGATAAACTGTTTCTATCCTCCCTGTAGTGTTGAATACAAGTTAGAGTGGATAAAATACCATATAGATATTTTAGATATCTTGGAGAAAGTGTTGTTTTATTTCCACTGTGTTTTTCCTGGAAACCTACAACATAATGACCATTTGACAACTGCCAAATGGCCAAGGACAGAGTTTAGCTCACAATGCCATTTCAGTTTCTTGTCTTAGCAGGGAAGAGGCTAAATGGCTAATGGATCTTTCCTGTGTCTTCTATGTGTCTAATACACTCCTAGAATAAAGCCATTGAGATAATTGAATTCCTTTATGAAATTACTCAACTAAGAAGAATTGCTCATTCTAAATTTAGATTTTGATGAATATAGGTATTTTAACTATCAGAATCTGCATCATTATTGTCAAGAACTACAAAGGGGTTGAAATTTTACCACATGTATGAGCTAATAATAAGGTAGCCTGTCACAGTTTCATGGTTGTTGACAGAAGACACAAGACTCCTGGGTCAGAGACAAAGGACATTATTACTCATTGTGTAGCAGTCAGCATGGGCTTCATGTTTGTGTCAGTTCTCCTTACTCCCCAAGTCCCATGGGAACATTGTGGAACAGCACGGGTGGATTCTACACAATAAATGAATTTGCATCATAGCTAACAAAACTCATACTTTTAACCCTGGTCTTTTCAAGGGACTGTTAGCAAATCTGCTTAACCTGAGGGAAACATTATCTTTCTTACCCTGGACAGCAAAAAAAAAAATTTCTGCCCTCTCTTTGTGGGTAAAAACTATCTTCAAGGCTGTTTTCTACACAAACATCTTCCAAAAGATATTTAATAATTTGAAACAAAGGATGTCCGTGTCTTTACTCAGAAGATGGGCAGACACACAAAAGACTCATGTAGAATTACCTCCTAACAATTAGAAGTAGCCTTGTCACCAGCACAACTCATGAGTTTTCCTAGCAGAAATATATTCTACAGCCTACACAGGTAGCTGATCTTCAGAGTTATACAACTTAGTAAAAGAAAGATTGCTAGATTTCCTTTTTACATGTCTTTCAATAATTAAAAAAAATTAAGATAGGTGTAATACAGGCACTTAGTATAAAAATAAAAAACTATTAAGAGTGTAGGCAGTTAAAAGTAGGTGTCTTTCCCTGTCTCCTAACCACCCAGTCTTTCTCCCCAGAGTAAACAAGCTTATTTTGAATGTCTTGGATATATATACTACTTATATATAAATGTTACGTATGATACAGATTTCATACATGTTGGGGTGGTGGTACGTGTATGCATACTCCTGTCTTCCTCCTACCTGAAATTCTTGTCTTACACACATCTCTACCCTCCAGAAGCAATTAATATTAAGGCAGGTGAAACATCTAAAACAAGAAGCACTTCAGTTTCATCCAGTGGCTTTCAAATTCTTGCATTTCTTTATTTACTCCCATCTGGTGACCACCTGGAAGACTTAAAGGTAAGTATATCATGATCCTTGCCCTCACTGAGCTCACACTTATGAAGGGGAGTAAGGCATCTATACACATAAATATAAAATAAAGAATGGCAATCAGAGGAGGGCACAGGCAATCAGAGGAGAGATAAACTACTTGAAGCTAGAGGGTCTCATGGGAAGATTGATGACAGATGTGGTATGTGAACTGGTCTGATGAAAGATGTGGTCCTGTGGCATGTGTGAGTTAAGTAGCCGGTGGGAAGTGGGATAGACGGGCATTCCAGAAAGAAGGAAGACATGAGCAGATACATAGAGGCAGGAAAGCACGGCATGGACCAGGGACACAAGGAGCAGTCCATGGAGCTGGGGCAGAAGAATGATGAGGAAAGGAGGGAGGGAGGGTCATTGATGCAAAAGGGCCTCAAAGGCAATGCTACTGCCATCAGTGTTTTTCTTGGGAATATGTGCAGCAACATGATCTCCTTTGGTCCTACTGCAAAAAAACAAAGATATGGAGCCCACATGTAATAGCCTACATGTCATTTAGGACACTTATTGCTGGAATCCATCTCCTCAAGCACAGAGAGCAAGATATTCAGAGCTAAATTTGAGTGCCAGAACCCTGTGTGATGTCAAATGCTAATCATCTGAACTCTAGACCACCCTCAACAACACTTCAAGTCCCTGTTCATGTATCCTAGACTTAAATAAAAATCCATCCATCTGGCCATATAACCTATAGATATTACACTGCTATTCAAGTATTCTCTAGTAAATACAAGTTCATGGCTGAAGATGAATTTTGATTTTTATAAAGT